AGGAGGAGGAGGAGGAGGAGGAGGAGGAGGAGGAGGAGGAGCCGGGATCAAGGGTGAGGTCTTTCTCGCGACCGCAGATGCGGCTGGCACCTCGGCAACGCCTGGACCGTACACCTGCCTCCGCCTGCAGATCGCACCGCCCCAGGGCAGGCTGTCCGTCGCCGTGGCACCGGCCTGAGCCTGGGCCTCGCGCGAGCCTCGTGCGATGCAGATCACGACGAGGCACAGCGCGGTGCCGACGACGGTAGCGCGCAGCAGAGCAGGATGCCCAGCCTATTGCGTCAGGTCGGGCGTGTCCCCCTACAGGCGGATCTGGGACGAAACACGAAACAAATATTCAAGAAATACCCGAAAGTGGTCAAGCATAGTCAAACACATCGTCCCCGGACGCACTATCTTGATTGTGACTATTTCTGAGTACTCCTCCTGTAGAGGGACACGTCCGACTTAACTAGGGAAACGAACTCTATACACCGACGCTTTTCCCGACCCTGCGCTGAAACTCGCACAGGAACGCGAATTCTGGTGTATACGGGATCCTGGTGTATACATTTTTCGTTGCTTTCCAAGGACATCGGGGACAAAGTGTACATCACACCACCCCAGCGTCGTCCCCGACCCTCAAACAGTCCTGGGACTCAAGAACCGGCCCGCCACTGGCAGTGTATACGTTCCAACTTCCGATTCACTCTTGCCCCGACGCCGCCACGGCGGGACTGCTCGTGACCGCGCGGCGGCCGCGTGCCCCGCCGCCGCCCTGCAGAGGCGCCCCCGCCCGCCTCCGGGCCTTCCCGAGCGACCGCCCCCGGTCGTCTCGCGGAGAGGCGGCATCGGAGTGCGGGCTGAGCAGGGGCCGACCGTCCTGGCGTTCGCGTGGGCCTACCACGCAATGTTCTCAGAACCCGGAGATGCTAGAATAAGAAAAACCATGTTCTTAGAACATACACGCCGGTCGGAAGAAGTAGGTAGAAACATGAGGTAGGAAGGCGGATATAGTAGATTGGGTCCAGGTCCTCCCAGATAAAAAAACAACACAGGAAAAGCATGCCGATTCTTGAAGTAGGAAGGCGCTTGAAGTAGATTGGGATCTGGGAATCCAAAAATATTTACTTTCAACGACCAGCGTGTAAACCCGATGTGTTTAGACAAGGCAGACTCAGCCAGAAATGTTCTAAGAGCGTTTCGCGCAGGCCACGAAAGGTTCTTAGGGCACTCTTTGGTGGGCCTATATAGGCGAGCCAGGACGCTTCGCCACTGCTTGAATGGGGGCAGGCGCCCAGCGGTCCCCGAGTGGCAAGATCGCCCCGCGGCGATCGTGCGCAAGGAGGGTCGCATGCCGCCGAGGGGAGAGACGAGGACGACGAGGAGGAAGAGGAAGGGCAGGAGGCAGAGGAGGAGCAGGAGGAGGAGGAGCAGGAGGAGGAGGAGCAGGAGGAGGAGGACGAGGAAGACGAGGAGGCGGAAGACGAGGAAGACGAGGAGGAGGACGAGGAGCAAGACTGCGCAGGGAGGAGGACGCCGAAGAGGGCGGCTCGAAACGAGGTTCGCGTCTGCGGGACGCACAGAGGCATACCAGTACCAGGTGTTCTCCTCGGAGGCGCGCGTCCGACCCGAACAGATAGTATACCCATCTTGTAATGCATCGTTTCCCGAACGGTGTGGCCAGAAAGCGCCCGCCACGACGCATGTACTATGAGATTTCTCGGTGCGCGCTTCGACCCTGGGGAGGCGACGCACACATAGCATCAATATGCTGGGCTGACGCCGATGCATGGACCGCCTAATTGACGGCCCCGTCTTCCATGAGGACACTCACCGTAAGGAAGAAGACATTCGCGACCTGTGAGGAAGGAGCTTGAGACGGGATGGTGTTTTCCAACATCGTTGCTCGATCTTGGCTTTACTCTGGTCCTCCTCCTCCTCCGTCTCATCCTTCTCCTCCCTCTTCCATCCTGCTCCTGCTGCCTCCTCATTTCCTGCTGCCTGGCTATCCGTCCGTTCTGCCTTCCGTCTCGCTCCAACCCTCAACCACATACGATAACACACTGTAAACCACAATGAGTCCTCCCATCGCCGCGGAATTCAGGTCCAATGCTCCCATGACGCTCGAAACCTGTATTTCTTTAGGCGCGAGTGATGGTTGTCTCACGCGACTATGCCGCGCAAGAATGGCGTTGCCAAGCGCCCCCACAAAACTTGGACCACCATCCAGGTCCACTGGACAAAGCTGAACGGTAATCCTCCATTGGTCGCCTCGCCCTCACGAGGACGTGCGAACTACGTAACCGCGCCGACTCCTTGACATGCGAAGTGGATATTCCGCGGCGCACGCGCGAAGCAGAACTGTTTCAACTCAGGCACTGACCAAATATCCGTATCCGCTCGAGGGGTGTTCCACGAGCGTGGCCGCAAGCTCCGGTTCTCAGAGCTCTGCTTCAATCTGGCTGCGATGCTGGAGGCCCTGACCGCCTGCTGAGATGATGGGCTGGCATCCCCGAGAATCGGGTCAGATGCTGGCCCCCTGACCCACCTCTCGCGCTGACACGGCGGCCTACCCGTTCTGCCCTCCTCCTCGCCCTTGCCCTCAGCATCCAGTCTGCTGCTCCTCCTCCTGCTCCTGCTCCTCCTCCTCCTCCTCTTCCTTCTCCTCCTCCTCCTCCTTGCCCCCCCCCCCCTCGCCTCCCTTCCCCTCACCCCTCCCCTCCCAGAGTAGGTGCGGCCGTCGTTGAACACGAAGTGGCCCTCCCCGTGCATGTCGTTCTGGTCGAACTCGCCGACGTACCTGGGGCCCGAAGCGAGCCGGCGGCGCGCAGGAGGGGCGGAGGGAGGAGGAGGAGCAGGAGGAGGAGGGGGAGGAGGAGTAGGAGGAGGAAGAGGTGGAGAGGAGGAGGAGGAGGAGGAGGAGGAGGAGGGGGAGGAGGAGGGAGAGGAGACGCAGGAGGAGGAGCAGGGGGTGGATGAGGAGGAGGAGGAGGAGGAGGAGGAGGAGGAGGAGGACGAGGAGGAGGAGGAGGAGGAGGTGGAGAGGAGGTGGAGCAGGGGGTAAGGAGCCCGCCATAGACGCACGCGTCCAGCCATTTACACGAAAACGGCCACCCAGCCCGCGAGGCCGACCTCGTGTCACGAGCCGAGCGTTCGCGCACAATGCGCACCTTTGAGACCAACGTGGGTTCATGCACGTGTGCGTCCTGCTGTCGCTCCCGAGGGGGGGGGGGTCGATGGCCTCCTGGGGGGGGCACCCCGCCACCTGGAGATCCCGCCGCCTGCGCAGAAGCTCGAGGCTCCCTCGGAGAGGCCGGTGCCCTTCTGGCAGGGCGTCCCCTGCCCCTCCCGCCCCCCCGAGTAGGAAGCCCAGAAAGGACGTGCGCGCCCAACCATTCGGGTGTTGCTAGGCGTGCCCCTGGCCCAAGGTGCCCCCAGGATTTCCAAGGAAGCCCCCACGGCTTCCAGAGCACCCTGCACGAATCCCAGGGGCTCCAAAATTGAACGGAAAGATGGGTCTAGCTTGGGCAGGGGGCACCTCTAGCAACCCCCGAACCATGTACATGAACACGGCCCCCAAATCCGCGAGACCCGCCGCGTGATACGGACGTTCGCCCAATGTGTGCTCTCGAAATCAACGTGGATTCATGTACGTGTATGTCCTTCTGTCGCTCCTGACCGAGGCCTCCAGAGCTTTCGGCGTTCTCTTGGGGCCCCTCCGAAGGCTCCCCAAAAAGCCAAGTCAGTGAGGAACCTCGAGCGTCGAGGGGGGTAAGGCAGAGAACTCTGGGGGCCACGCGTTGATAAACAACAAGATCGGGGGGCTGCATCCTCCTCCTCCTGCTCCTCCTCTATCTCTTCTTCTCCTCCTACTCCTCCTCCTTCTCCTCCTTCCGCTCCTCCTTCTATTGAGCATGCACCAGACACAAGAGGTTCTGAACGCATTGGAACGTAGTCCTCATCGGGCTCCAAAACGAACGAAGCAGATCCCAGATCGAGAGGGCCCTTGCTTGATTAAACTCGGATCCCAAAGAGATGTCATTAGGAACGGATTATGCGTCGGACCCAAGGGAACATCACTGGATGGGTATAAGATATAGCATGATCTCAGCAGTGCCTGATCACATTTCGTAATGGGGCAGACCCCAGATGCAAGGCATTCGTATTACATGCTGATGAGGGTGCGCCAAGGAGTCTCCAAAAATAACCAAGAAGACATCATATCCAGAGGAGTACCCTCCTCTTCCTCCTCGTTGACATATGTTTGGAAGAGAAAGAAAGAGAGAGAGAGAGAAACAACAAATAAAGAGAGAGAGGGAGACAGAGAGAGCGCGAGAGAGAGGGAGACAGACGGACGGACGGACAGACAGACAAACAGACAGCAAACAAACAGCCAGTGAGCGCGAGGGAGAGAGAGAGAGAGGGAGATGGAGAAAGGGATATATATATATATATAGAGAGAGAGATATTTGAAGAGAAAGAGAGAGAGAGAGAGAGAGAGAGAGAGAGAGGGAGAGAGAGAGAGAAGGATAACAACAAACAAGAGAAAGAGAGAGAGAGAGAGATAGACGCGCGCGCGCGAGAGAGAGAGAGAGAGAGAGCGCGAACAACACGATTGAAAGGGAGAGGGGGGTATAACATAGATGCGTGTATCCACATGTATATGAAACCATGCTCATAAACCTTTATGCGCAGATGTATATATACATATATATACATATATATATATATATACATGTACACGTTCACGTACATGTATATGTTCAAAGCCCATGGAATTCTGCGAGGCCATGCAGTTCTGTCCCAGGGAAATCCAAAAGGCCTCCGAGACGGTCCCAAAGCTTCCCAAGGCACCCGCGATGGACCCAAGACGGCCGAAGAAGCTTTCGAGACGCCCCAAGAGAGCCCAAAGAGCCTTTCCAAGAGGGCCCGGGAGGTGCCAAAATCATTGATTTTCCTTTGGTGTTTCAAGGTTTAGTGGGTTCTCCACTTTTCGAAGTTCCGACGACCCAAGACGCCCCAAGAGACCCCCAAAACCGCCTCAGATGCACCCAAGAGGGCCCTAGACGGCCCAAGAAGGCCCCAAGACGCCCCAAGAGGTGCCCAAGACGGCTCAAGGGGGCCCCACATCTGCGCCAAGAGCGGCCCAAGACGGGGAACACGAATGGAAAATCCTAGCTTTTCGCCCCAGTACAGTAGGTGCCCAGGAAGCCCCAAGAGGCCCCCAAGAGGCCCCAAGAGGCCCCCAAGAGGCACCCAAGAGGCCCCCATGAGGCCCCAAGAGGCTCCAAAGTATCCCCCCAGAAGCCTCAAACATGCCTCCAGGAGACCCCCGAGAGGCCTCGACGAGATCCCAACCAACCTCCAAGAGGCCTCAGGTCCACAACCAAGGGCCTCGCGGACCGTCTTGGAGCGATCTTGGGGGCATCTTGGGCCGTCATGGGCGGCCGGAAGCCAAGAAAAGCGAGGATGCTAAACTCCGTACCCCCTGAGGGAACTCAATGAATATAGCCTCTTGGCACCCTCTTGGGGGGCCTCTCGGGGCGTCTGGGGGGCCTTTCGAAGCCACTTTGGACGGTCTTGGAATGCTCTGGGGCCGCTCTTGAGTCGTCTTGATGGCTTCTTGAACCGCCTGGAGGCCATGGTGGGCGCTCTTGGAGCGCTCTCAAGGATGGAACGGTTTCCAAGAGGGCGGACAGATGACCCGGAACCCAGGGGCAAAACTCGATTGCCAGGGGAAGGACCCCATTTGTCATGGTTTGCGGGGGGATGCCAGGGGGCCCAGCACTCCGACATGATGTGTTGATGTATGTATGTACGTATGTATAGATGCATGTATGCATGTATGCATGATGCACGAATGCATGGATGTACGAATGTATGAATGACTGTATGTATGTATGCAGGTAGGTAGGTAGGTAGATAGGTGGGCAGTTAGACACATATAAGTACACATGCTATAACCACGCGCGCTTAGGATCTAGCCATATCTGATCGTTGAAAAGCTCGCTGCTCCACCGAAGTAGTTCCTCACAAGTAGCTGTAACAGAAGGCGAATAAGTGTCAGCAATGCAAAACATTCAGAGACGAGTTACCGACAAGGACGCGGCCATACAATTGAGTGTTAAGAAATGTTAAGCAGGGGAAGGAATGCATTGTATGCGAGTGAGGCGCACTGTAAAGCAAGATGCTTGAAACCAGATGCGATGGACAGTCAACGCAAATCAGTGCAAGCAGAAGCGAGCGAAGCAAATGCAAGGCAAAGGACAGCTACGTTCACAAGTGCAGTATGCACGAGGCAAGGCACGTGCACACGCAACGCCCGCGATCTGGGCGCGAGCGGGCACGCGTCCTGCCCCCTGGCGGCTCCTCCCTTGGGCAATCAAATGCCACGCCTGCCACATTGCGATGAGCATGGGGCTCTGACTGTATGGGTCATATGTGTACGAGTCTGAGTACGACTTGGCTGAGTATGAGTGGATCTGAATGAGAGTGGTGTGCATGAGCGAGTCTGAGAATGTGTGAATCTGAGTATGAGTGGGTCTGAGTGAGCATGAGCCTGAGCATCAATGGATCTGAATGTGAATGAGTTTGAGTACGGGTGTGTCTGAGTGTCAGGGAGTCTGAGTGTAAGAACATCCGAGTGTGAGTGAGTCTGAGCATGAGTAATCTGAATATGATGAGAGGGAGAAAGGAGGCGGGAAGAAAGAAGCGAGGCGGATGCATCTCACACATAACAAGAACCTCATTGGGGAAACCAAAAGGTACCGATACAGCTACTCCCCGGACCTCTCCCGGGGTGCGTTCTGACCAGGATTTCGAGGCGAATCCAGCGGTGGCGACGAGGGCCTCCGAGGCCCGAAAAGGGGAAAACGAGGAAAGGGTAGAGGTATGGGTACCTTTTCCTCCGTCAACTCATACTTAGGACATGGGGAAAACCTTGTTCCTGCGGTGCCAGGCAGGGCGGTGTGGATACTTGCAGCCGTTGGACCAGACGAAGGTGCCCCGCCCGTGCTTCTTGCCTGCCCAAGCGCCGCAGCATGCAGGTCGGGCTGGCGGCGCGGAGGGACGGAGGCAAGGACAACATGTATGCGACACGCGAGAGGACACAAGACCCCCCTTTCGAGGGCCACATCGCCATAGGAGTGTAAGAAGGCACGTGTCGCGAGGCACAGGACACAAGGGTACCCTTGAGCTGGCAGGGTCGACCTACTAATCTGGGCCGAGATGGGGTCGGAGGATGGCGCCGCATCGCCGATACATCGGCGATGCATCGGCGACGTCGACGTGAGGCAAATCGGGCTGCACATCGAGCCGCATCGGCGATGCATCGGCGATGCGGCACAATCCTCCGACCCCATCTACTTCGACCCCATCTAAGAGGCCTAGATCATAACGGAGGGCCTCACGCTAGGTTCCTGTCGTGTCGACGAGCTGGCACCGAATGGATCATTCAATCTCGGATGATCACCGCGTACTGGCGTCGAAGATCGTGCAATGCTGGCCGAGTTCAGGCTGGTTGCCTTCAGGTTTGAACTGCCGGGTAACTAGGCGTCGCTGCCGCGCCGACGAGCAACGAAACTGCACTACGCACGAGGACGCAGCGGCCATACGTGACGGCTTACCACACGCGTTCACTTCGGACGCCCGGAACGGGTATACAGAAACATGGGGACAATCCCGACAACAAAGTGTGACGTAAACCGACACCGGCCTCGGTTGGGCAGGCGGCCTCCTGCCTCAAATGGACCACGTCCGCGGCGGCACGGACAACGAGTCTGGTTCAAAATGGACAAGATCCCCTGTTGGGCATCGTGCCCACTCTTTCCGTACCTGCTTCGACTGTGCCGGTCCACGGCGACGACGTCGCCGAGAACCGACCGAACCAGGCAACGGGACCACGGCCAGGCGAAGCCAGCCGATCGCTCGCGGCCGAAGGGGGACGCGGCAGCGTAGATAGGAAGAGAAAACACGCTATAAACATAAACTTTTGGCGCTCCGCGCGGATTTCTTGGATCTGCCCTGGACCCCGGAGCGCGCCAGGGGCGGCGCCGCCGGGGGCCGGGGGGGGCCCAGGCGCGGATCCAAGAAATCCGCGCGGAGCGCCAACGGTTTATCTTTATGAGGTTTCTTCTTCTTCGACGAAAGGGGACGCGGCAACGCAGAGGGTGGACGCCAACCGAGCCGATGCGGAAAGGCGAAGCCAGCAGACCGCTGGCGGCCGAAGGAGAAGGAGAAGGAGGCAGAGGAGGAGGAGGAGGCAGAGGAGGAGGAGGAGGAGGCAGAGGAGGAGGAATAAGAGGAATACGAGGAATAAGAGGAGGAGGAAGAGGAGGAGGAGGAGGAGGAGGAGTAGGAGGAGGAGGTGCAGGATGAGGAGGTGGAGGTGGAGGAGGAGGAGGAGGAACAGGTGGAGGAGGAGGAGAAGGTGGAGGAGGAGGAAGAGGTGGTGGACAAGCTAGGTGCGCTCGCGTCATATCTGACGTCCTACCCCTCCCTCCCATCCCTTACCATGGCGCTGATTTTCTCTATCCGCGGACGCGTGTCGTAGCGGACCTGTGGCTCCGCGCGCGCGTGCGTAGTGGGTGGTGGTGCGCGTGCGTGCGTGCGTGCGTGTGTGCGTGGTTGTGGTGGTGGTGGGTGTGTGGTGGTGGTGGTGGTGGTGGTGGTGGTGTGGTTGTGGTGTGTGGTGGTGGTGGTGGTGGTGTGGTGGTGGTGGTGGTGGTGGTGGTGGTGGTGGTGGTGGTGGTGGTGGTGGTGGTGGTGCGGCGCGGTGGTGGCGGGCGGATGGGCGCGCGAGAAAGAGGCCCGCGCTGGGGCGAGAACGCCATCCTGAACGACGGAGGTCAAACACCGATCCGAAAATGAGGCCCACGCTGCAGCGGGAGCACGATTCGGAACGATTCGGGAGCAGAAATGAGGCCGGCGCCTCAGCGAGAGCAGCATTTTGAAAAAAACGCAGGCGAAAACCCAACTCCCAGGAATCCTGTGTGTAAAAACAGTACGCGGGGGGGGTCGAATACTTTCAGGCCGCCATCGGGGGAAGAGGAAGAGTAGTATTCATATGGAGTAATTGTGGAGGAGGAGGAACAGAGCGCAGCGCAGAGCGTGGCCGCCAGCCGAGCAGGTGCGGCCAGACGCGCATGCTGGCCGAGCGTGCCGAGCCGCCGGGGGACTCGGGTCGGCCCGACGGGGCCATCAGAAAAAATGACGAGACCCAATCTGAAAGTTGACGCGAGCTCCCGCTGCAAACGTCCCACAAACACGGGACCGTCGAAGTCCAAGACGCGCTCGTCAAGAAACGTCGGCAGACTCGAGCTCCGGCTTACTCGAGTTTTACGTTTCCCGGACTCTGCTCACGCAGGCCGCCCGGGCGGCACGCCGCGGCTCTGCGAGGGGCAGCCTGCGCGCCGAGGCCCGCGAGATCGGCTCCGTGGTCTTGGCGTCGCTTGGGGGAGGAAGCAAGGCGTCGAGTCTCTGGGTTGACTCCAACTCCAACTCCAACTCCTCCTCCTCCTCCTCCTCCTCCTCCCAAGAACTCTGGCGTTGTTTCTCTGTTGTTATTGCGTTCCTTCAATCCGTGGGCCCCCACAGTCTCGATCCCTTCTCTGGGTCCGGTTGTGCAGTTGTCTTTGACAGCCCCCTGGGGCCGAAATGAGAGGAAACGCCAGGATTGAGAACTCACGGCGGAGGTCTGGTCACAGGGCACCCCCCAGAGGTGCCGGCAGCAGGCGCCAGAAACTTCAGACGTGGCTCTGAGCAGGGCTCTGAAAAGCCTGGGCCGTCTCCACGACACCCATCCTTAGTGGGCCCCAGAAACGGCAGGGCCGTTTTTTTCATCGTTCCCGAAAAAATGCCCCTTGAAAATGGAAACGGCAACAAAACGGCGACCGGAGCAACAAAAACGGCTTCAAACTTGGAACCGGAGCCGGAACTGGTGAAAAAACGGCGACGGAACCGGTAAAAAAACGGCGTCGGAACCTGCAAAAAAACGGCAAAACGGAACCGGTAAAAAAACGGCCCTGTCGTTTCCAGGGCCCACTAAGCACCCATCCCCTTACGATTGGCACCACTTTCCACCGTGACAGCATCGGCAGGGTCCCCAATGCTGCTGTCATGATGGCAAGTGGCCCCTGGTGGCGAACGGCGCGCGCTGGGGAGCGGGGCGTGAAGGGGGGCGGTCTTCTAAAGAGGGTCGTCGTCGTCGTCGTCGTCGTTGTTGCCGCCGTCGTCGTCGTCGTCGTCGTCGTCGTCGTCGTCGTCGTCGTCGTCGTCGTCGTCGTCGTCCTGGTCGTCGTCCTCCTCCTCCTCGTCGTCGTGGTCGGAGGCTTCTATGATAGCGGCCCGCGTGAATCTCCAAGAGGGCCGTGCCTGCAGACCCTGCATAATCGAGAGGGACTTGGGGGCGTTTCGCCGCCCCCTCTGCCCCGCCTTTTCCCCGGCTGCGCCGGGGGCCCCAGAGGGTCTCGGGGATCCTCTCACCCAGGCCAATCCAGACACGGGCCAGTCAGGCTTAACGCGGCAATGTCGGCGCAGACGACCCCGTTTCTTCCTATTTCTGCGCGTTGCTCAGCTAGAGGCCTTCTAGATGGGGTCCAACTATGGGGTCGAAGGATTGCGCCGCATCGGCAATGCATCGCCGATGTGTCGGCGAAGCGTCGGTGACGTCGGCAATGCATCGGCGACGTCGGCGTGGGGACACGCGGTCTCCACATCGAGCCGCATCGTCGATGCATCGCCGATGCCTCGTCGATGCGGCGCGATCCTTCGACCTCATCTACTCGGACCCCATCTAGGAGGCCTAGATCAGCCAAGGGCTCCCAAATTCGCGCTTCGCGCTGCGCAAATAACTTCGCGCGCTCGCGCCGCCCCCCCAAAGGGAAAAAAGGAGGACGAGGAGAACGAGGACCGCGAAGCGTGAATGACTTCGCGCCCTCGTGGGAGCCCTTGATCAACTGGGCTCGCTCCCCAACCCCACCGCTGGACCCCCCCCCCCCAAAGGGACCCTCGAATGCGGGCCCGCCGCCCCGCTCCCCCGGGGAGCCCACAGGGAGGGCGCAGGCACGCGCCCACGCGCGTGCGTGCACGCGCCCCGCACTGCGCGAGGCGGGCCGCGGGGTACGAAGGTTCACGCAACGCGTGCTCTCGAAACCAACGCGGCTCCTCCTCCTCCTTCGCCTCCTCCTCCTCCTCCTCCTCCTCCTCCTCCTCCTCCGCTTCTCCTCCTCGTCCTCGTCCTCATCACCTCCTCCTCCTCCTCCTCCTCCTCCTCCTCCTCCTCCTCCTCCTCCTCCTCCTCCCTCCCCCTCCCCTCCTCCTCCTCCTCCTCCTACCTCCTCCCCTCCTCCTCCTCCTCCTCCTCTCCTCCTCATCATCTCATCATCATCATCATCATCACATCATATCATCATCATCACATCATCATCACCACCTTCCCTCCTCCTCCTCCTTCCCCTCGTCGATCCTCCTCCTCCTCTTCATCACACTCCTCCCCTCTCCTCCTCCTCGTCGTCCTCCTCTCCTCCTCCCTCCTCCTCCTCCTCCGTCCTCCTCCTCCTCCTCCTCCGCGTCCACCTCCTCCCCTCCTCCTCCTCCTCCTCGTCATCACCTTCCTCCTCCCCTCCCTCCTCCTCCTCCTCCCTCCTCCGCGTCCTCCTCCTCCTCCCTCCTTCTCCTCCTCCTCCTCCTCTCCTCCTCCTCCTCCCCTCCTCCTCCTCCTCCTCCGTCCCCTCCTCCTCCTCCTCCTCCTCCTCCTCCTCCTCCTCCTCCTCCTCCTCCTCCTCTCCATGTGCGTGCACGTCCTTCTCTCGCTCCTGTTGGGGGGCCGACCTCTCTATAGACACCGACTCCATTTCCGGCCCCACGCTGCCGTTCGCACAGGGAAGCGGCTCGTGGTGAATGCGGGATCCCGGTCTACACGTGCTTCGCTACTTCCCCGGGGAGGCCGGGGACAAAAGGTGTACACCACACCACCCCGACGTCGTCCCCGACCCTCCGGAAGTCCTGGGACTGAGCAACGGCCCGCCACTGGTACTGCACATGATCCGGTTTCCGAGATGGGGTGTCTCTGGCGCCTGGTCGGGCACTGCAGGCCAGAGGAGTGGCTCCCGATGGCTGCAACGAGGACCCTTCCTGCCTCCAGCCGCGCGCCGCGCGTATAAACTACAAAACTACAGTGGGGGTCAGTCCTGGAGAAACCTTCCACAAGAAACCCAACCCTGAGACCCCATGATATCTTTCATTTTTAGTGTGGGGACATTACGCTTTCCACAGCAAGACCATCGAAATCCAAGAAACCCAGGGCACCCCCTAGAGGCGAGCAGGGGTGTTTCTTGGCATGGGTCTCCACTGTTACAGAAATTCGACGACATCGCTATGGAGGACGAGATCCACGATTACGTGGAGCATATGATCGAGTTTCCGACCTGATCCCCGCTCCCCGCGGGGGGCCGCGGCAGAACTCGCCCTCGTACTTCGAGCTGTCCGCCCACGCCTCCTGCCCGCTGCCCTCCTGCAAGTCGTCCGCCCACTGCCCTGGACGCGGCCGGCAAGACGCCGCTGCCGCCGGGGCGCTGCCGGCGACGACGACAGCGATGACGACGGCAACGACGACGACGGCGACGACGACGGCAACGACGACGACGACGACGACGACGACGACGACGACGACGACGACGACGGCGGCTGCGACGACGACGACGACGATTACGATTACGACGACGATTACGATTACGATTACGACGACGACGGCTGCAACGACGACGACGACGACGACGACGACGACGGCGGCGGCGGCGGCGGCGGCCCCAGCGATCCCGCGCGCGCCACGGTGGAGGAGGCGGCGGAGGGGAAGGGAGGGGGAGGATTGGGGAGCAGAAGTGAGGAGCACCCGAGTGTTTTTAGCTCGGGCATGTCCTCCTACAGGCGGATGGTGGAGGACATAGCGAACAATGACATTGGCAAACAAATAGCCAGGAAAACAACTCATCGCCCCCAGAATATGTTTTTTTGTGCGTATGTGTGACCATTTTCGAGCACTCCTCCTGTGGAAGGACGTGCCCGACTTACGAGTGTCTTCATCAGCGCCGGGCGGTGCCGAGGACAGGGGGTCCTAGGCCCTGGGGCTCTCCTGGAAGCTCGCCACCTTGCCGGGGGCCTCGTGGCCTCCTCGGACAGGGGAGGCCGCAGGGCCCAGGAACCCTCCTCCCTTGAAGGGGCCCTGGGACACACAACTACATAGCAGGATTCCCTACGGTTCCCATCTTTCTGGGCTTTTGTCTTCCCCCCCACTTCCCATATCTTCCCATAGTTGCTGGGGAATCGACGATGAATTGTGTCTGTGTGTGTTTTCTTTCCCTCCTGATCCCTGAAGAACCGACTGCCTCGTGGCGAGAGGAAATGTCCGCCGGTTACTGGAAGCATCCGGCGATCCTGGAAGGCGCGCGGAGGTCCCTCGCCAGCCTCCGCGGCGGCCTCCAGGGACGCAGAGGGGCCCCGGAAGCGTCCGAAGATGTTGATCCTCGAGCCTCCTCAGACTCTGGTCCTCGAGGCGGAAGAAGAGGAAGAACAAGAGAATGAGGAGATAAGGATGAGGAGGTTGATGAAAAAGATGAAGATGAGGAGGATACGGATCAGGATAAGGATAATGATGAGGAGGATGAGGAGGATAAGGATGAGGAGGATGAGGTAAGAAGAGGAATAATAGGTTGGAGGAGGAGAGAAGAAGCAGCTCGGGGGAAGCGTGCCATGGTCATACCCGCGATCAGACGCGCGGAGAAAGCATGGTTCCGTGAGCAGTGGCCGTCCTCGCCGCCACAGCCGCCGCCGCCGTCGTCGTCGTCGTCGTCGTCGTCGTCGTCGTCGTCGGCGTCGGCGTCGGCGTCGGCGTCGGCGTCGGCGTCGTCGGCGTCGTCGTCGGCGTCGGCGTCGGCGTCGGCGTCGGCGTCGGCGTCGTCGGCGTCGTCGTCGTCGTCGTCGTCGTCACCGCCGTCGTCGCCGTCGTCGTCGTCGTCGCCATCGCGGTCGCCGTCGCCGCCGCCGTCGGCGTCGGCGTCGTCGTCGTAGCCGCTGTCGTCGTCGCCGTCGTCGTCAACGACGTTGTCGCCGTCGTCGTCGCCGTCAGTGCGTCGCCGTCCCCGTCGCCGTCGCCGTCTCCGCTCTGCCGCCGCCTTCGCCGTCGCCATCGCCGTTGCATGCCGTCGCCGAGGCCGCTCGCCGCTGCGGCCCCCGCCGCCATCGTCGCCGTCTTTTTCGCCGCCGCCATCGTTGTCGCAGCCGCTTTCGCCGCCGCCGTCGTCGTCGTCGCCGCCGTCGTCGTCTTTCTTCTTCGCCGCAGTCGTCGTCCTCGTCGTCGTGGCTGTCGCAGGGGTGTCCCCCCCTCCTCCGCACTCCTGCTGCCCCCGCTGGGGGAAGCTCGCGAAAATCCAGTGGAGGCCCGACCATAAGAAATATTCCACAACAAACCAAACCCTGAGCCCCAGGATGTCCCTGATTTTTTGGCGTGTGGGCGTCCCGCAGCAAAGCCATCGACACCCAAGCAACCGAGGGCCCCCCTGGAGGCAAGCAAGGTACTTCTTGGCATGGCCCCCCCCCCCTGCAACAGAACCATCACATGTTGTCTATCATGCCCCGCCGACCCTCGTATGCTCATGGGCCTGGCCTCCCTCCCTCCCCCCACGGCCTCTGCCCCCCTTCCCGGCTGCCTGCCGCTGTGCTGTGTTGCTGCCTGCTGCGGTTCTCCCCCACGCCCCCTGCCCTAGAAGAAACACAACCGCCGTAGACATACAAACTTCTGGCGCTCCGCGCAGATTTCTTGGATCCGCGCTGGACCCCCCTCCCTGGCGCCAGGAGCGCGCCAGAGGCGGCGCCGGAGGCGCCGCCACGGGGGCCCAGCGCGGATCCAAGAAGACCGCGGGGAGCGCCAAAACTTTTTATGCTCATGGCGAACGTGCTCTTCTTCGGTGCTCCTCTCCTCCATACCGCGCTGCTGCTGCTCCCCCTCTGCGGCGCTGCCGTGCCCGCACCGGGGGCGCACGCAAGCTTAGGTCGGGCATGTCCTCCTGCAGGCGGATTGGGGGGGGGGATTTCTGAAGAGTCAAGAAGACAGCCACCAACTTGATCAAAAATCGTAGAAAATTCGTCCCCAGACTGTTTCTGCACTACTTGTGCTTCCTCCTCGTGGTAAGGGACAGGCCCGACTCCAACGGAAGCCCCCGAGGCGGGCGGCGCCTCCTGCCCCCCGCCAGGGCGGGGCGGCCCGGGGCGCGGGAGAGCGCGCGGCGCCAGGTCGGGGGCGGCCAGGAGGGCGGGGGGGGGGGGCGCAAACCATGGCCCGCGGCATGTGCGCGGCCAAGAGGGGGGGGGGCCAGGGACGCAGCGAAGCAAGAAGAGACGCCATGAAAGGGACGCAGCGAAGCAAGAAGAGGCGCCATGAAATCTGGGGAAACATCATGGCCCACGCCGTGAGATCCACCCCCCGCCGAGTCACCACCCCCCCTCCCTGCCGCCCCCGACCAGGGCGAGGGCCGCTCTCCGAAGCCGGGCCGCCCCCCCGTCCTCGGCAGCTGCTGCAGGCCCTTCGGACGAGTGCGCGCGGCGCTGCAGCGGGAGCCACGGCATTGGTCGCTGCCCGCCATCCGTCCTCGAAGGTGCTGCACACGGTCAGGGTTCGGTCGGGCATGTCCCCTACAGGCCGATCTTCGACGGAAAATCAAAAATAGGCAAAACAAAACGCGCCGAAAATCAGCACGACCACTCAACAAATCATCCCCAGAGTATTTTTTGATTAATTTGGAATATTCCTCCTGTAGAGGGACACGCCCGACTTGAGGCTACCCGCCACCCATCCTCGAAGGTGCTGCACACGGTCAGAACGAGTGTGCGCGGTGCTGGGGCCGGAGCAGCATTTTGAGAAACCGGCCCGCCCGCCATCCTTGACACTGCTGCGGGCCTCTAACAAAACGAAAGAGCACGGCGCGAACGTAAAGTCGGGCCTGTTCCTCTACAGGAGAAGTATGCAAAAATAGTGTAACAAAATAGTCTGGGGCGATTTTCCCCCAACCCTTCTGTGTTGGGTTCTCGTTTTGAACAGAGCAGTGTGGTCGACCCGTCCTTCCTCCTTCCTCCTCCCCTCTCCTCCCCTACTCCTTCTCTCCTGTTTCCTGTGTTCCCCTCTCCTCTTCTCTCGTGCCGTCGGGCTGCGATATACGCAACTGTTGGCACTTTCGTGGGCTCCTGGGGGGCCCAGCGGAGGTACGTCATACGCGGACCACCACTATAGCTCGCGGTGCCCTGGGAGGCTGCGATCTGCGAAACTGTCGTCACTTTCGTGGGCTCCTGGGAGGCCCAGCGGAGGTACTCCAGATTTCGTAATAAAAGGGAGGGGGTCTGGACCCTCCAAGACAAGCCATTTCGGACCTCCCCCGTGGGAGAACCCTCCAAAACATCGTCCCCAGACCCCCCCAGGCCCTCCAAGATAGCCTGGAAGAGACCCCCCCCGAAATGAACCCCCCCTTCCTTTATTACGAAATCTGGAGTACGTCATACGCGGACCACCACTCTAGCTCGCGGTGCCCCGGGGGGCTGCGATCTGCGAAACTGTCGGCACTCTCGTGGGCTCCTGGGAGGCCCAGCGGAGGTACGTCATACGCGGACCACCAGACGCCCCCTTGTGTGTCCGTTTTGTAGTTTCGCCGCTGCTCTTCTCGCTGCGCTCTTCTGAAATCACTGCTGGGTGCTCTTCTTGCGCACTGCGAGTCCTTCAGAATGCCAGTCAGCATTGAGTGGTCCTGAGTATACTCGCCACATATGGTTGGGTACGTCGCAGGGTAATTGAGTACTGTTGAACTTTTGTTTGAATATGTTTTGAGTATCTTTAATGTGTCGTCCCAAAATCCGACTGTCGGGGACACACCCGACCTAAGGTTAAGGCGAAAACACACAGATTGAAATCAATCCGCAGTCTTTCCTTGAACATTTTTTTAGACTTATGGTTACACATGTCAAGGCAGTCTCGGGCGAAACGACGGGTGCGGTCTACGGACACGTCTGGAGGTTTGACAGGGAGGAGCTGCTTATACGGAAGATGGATGGGGGAGGAGAACGAAAATAAGAAGGAGTGGAGGGAAGAAGAGGATGAGGAAGAGGAGGAGGAGGAGGAGGAGGACGAAGGCTCTGGCCACTCGACCGACACATCCGCGTCATCGAGGCGCTAGGGGAGACGATGACGAGGTGAAGGAGATGGGGGGAGGAGGGGGTGGAGGAGGCAGAGGAAGATCGAGGCATAAACATAAACTTTTGGCGCTCCGCGCGGATTTCTTGGGTCTGCGCTGGACCGCCCTTCCCATGGGCAGCGCTGGAGGCGCCGCCGGGGGGGGCCACCGCGGATCCAAGGAATCTGCGCGGAGCGCCAACAGCTCATGTTTATGGCGCTTTTTCTTCTTCGAGTGGATTTTAGTTTTTCGTTTTTTCTCCATGACTGATATCGTTTCAATGAAGACGCCTTCAACCTGTGCAACGGCACAATGAAAATGTCACGGAATACCTTTTGGAGGTTGTGAACATGTCAAACGGTCAGAAGCAAAACATGTATGCCTGAAGTGATCCAGACAGTGCTCGTGTCTACAGACGAGAAATGGGACGGAGGGAATACCAGGAGGGAGAGGGCGAGAGGACGAAGATGCTGGAGAGGAGACCCGCCTCGCCTGTGTAGGAGGCGCCGGTGGGGTAGCGGTACGTGCCTCGGCCGGCCACGCTCGGAAGGCGCTTCGGGGCGCGCCGCGCCAGTGCCGGCCGCACCGCCGCGCCCGAGAAGCAACAGTCAGGTCGGGCGTGTCACCCATATGGGGGGGATTTTGGACGACAAATGAACAAGACCCCCCAACAGTTTTTTTAATGCTCAAAAATAGCAAACACATGCCAAAAACAACTCGTCCCCAGACAATGTTTGGACTACTTTTGGATCTTCCTCCTGGAGAGGGACAGGCCCGACTTAAAGCAACAGGTCTCCTCCCTCATGCGGGCAAGATGTAAATGCAAAGCCACTGAATCTTGGAATTTCTGGCTCCCTTCCTCAGACACCCGAGGCGCAGCGGGGTAATACGGATACAAATCTGCCACTGCGCCTCAGAATGGAGTCCCTTCTGGTCCTTTTGCATATCCACTGCATACCAACTAGTCCTTTTGCAGTCCCTTCCCAGAAAGTCCAATACGCAGTGGATAGGTATGGACATCAATCTTGCCCACACCTAATGGAGATGAGGAGGGGGAGGGGGAGGTGGGCGAAGTTTCGAGTTTCAGGGTTTGCGGGCGTTTTCGTCGGTTCTCGGCGGCTTTCCAGCCTCGGGATGGCTTCCAGCGGCTCAGCCTCGCCGAAGGCGTTCTGGGGCTGCCCAGATCGTCCAGAACGGCCGCCAGAGAGCCGAGTTATAACACGAAAACCAAAAGGCAACGTTCGAGGAGAGAGAAGAGAAGGAGGGGGAAGGGGGGAAAGGAAAAGCAGGGCAAGGAGTAGTAAGGGGGAGGGTGGGGATATGCTGATGAAGATGACATGGAAGGTTGAGGATGATGATGATGCTGATGATGATGCTGATTATATTAATGGTGATAATGATGATGAGTAGGAGGAGAAAGAAGAGGAGGAAGACGCGGATGGCCTCCTCCTCCGAGCCTCGGACGCCATTTGTTTCCGCTGCGTGGCCGCTACAACTCTCAGTCCCAGACCGTTTCTTGATGGACCCCGATTCTGGGAATGGAGCCCCCAGAAACCCAACTAGAAGAGAAACCAGTCGTCGTGAATGCTTCAAGTCGACGGAGGCCCAGGAGCTTCCGAAGGCTCCCGGGAGGCACAAGAAGGCCTCCAAGAGGCCTCCACAAGGCCCCCCAGGAGGCCCCGAGAGTGCCCCAAAAGGTCCAAAGAGTTAGGTCGGGCGTGTCCCCCTGCAGGGGGATTTGCGGCGCAGGAAGGATGGTGGTGATCGTATCATAGGGCTTCTACCTGAGATAGCTAGGCTGTGGTCTGTGTGTCGCGAGGATGCAACCCAGGAGTGGAATAAGGATTGCTTCGCGCACTGGGACGCGGCTGCCAAGGGGAACTCGGTGCTGCGCGAGACGTACCAACGGGCCCTGCAGGAGAAGCTCGCTGCATACGTCCAGGTACTGCAAGGCCATGGCTTGCTTGACATAGCACGAATGTATGGCAGCATCGACTGGGTCTTCTTGGGGGAGGAGGCACTCGAGGTGGACTTTCCTGCGGAAGTCCTCGGCCTCGAGATCCTGCAGTGCACTGCGCCCCGCGTTCCCACCCAGAGTGGAGCGTGTGCGCGGGCCATCTCTCCCAGCCGCTCTGTTGTCCAAGGACTTCGTTCAAGGACGAGGCGAGGCGAGCGCGCGATGTCGGTCCAGCGGGACCGGCCCTATGAGGGCAGCCCTTCAGAAGGTGATGACCTTCAGAGCCCTTAAGAGTGTCACCGAGGTTCACGGGCGACACTCGCATCGCATATGGATCGACGACCTCTCACAGCGCATGCAGGGCTCTCGACAGGCACTTCGCCGATGCACGGTGCGATGCCTCACGGACACGTGCCAGGAGCTTCGCGCACGAGGGCCCAGCCTCGCTGAGAAGAGCGTCGTCATCTGCTCGGACATGGACGACGCAAAGGACATCGCCCGAGCCATGAAGCGCGTAAGGGCTTCCCCAATCCAGTTCCAAAGCCAGGCCAGCGACTCGGGCACCGACTTGGGCGCTGGGACGCGGCACGCCCGAGCCAACCGCACCCAGCGTAGAGTACGGCATGGCCGCGTGCATCGGCAAAGCGTGCGCTTGGCTCGGGTTACGAGGAAGTGTCATGTCACTGGAAGGCTGGCCCAACAGGGCGGACAAGCGGCTGGCGCCTATGGGCACCAGATCCACGGCGTGGACGGCACCGCGCTGACGCTGTTCCGACGGAGGCTCGGCGATGCAGCCGGCCCTCGCCTTCCAGGGCGATGCCTGACCACCCTCCTTGATCTCAAGGCGGGCCAGCGCGACCCAGCTCGGCGTTTACAACGAGCGGCGGTCCAGGCCTGGCTAGGACGCTATGGCAATGGGTACAGACTGGGCCACTCCAGAAGACGATTCAATACACATGGCGCAAGGTGGTCGACAACTTCCGAGCCATGCCTGTCCAACATGGTGTGAGGCACATCCGCGGACCCCAGTCCGCAATCGTCTTGTATCTACTCGAGTTCGGCTGGGACCCAGTTCAGCCCAACGAATGGAGGTTGCCAGCAGCGCTCGCCGACGGCACGGACACCTGGGACTTCAAGGCCGAGGGTCTCTCGGGGATCCCAGCCGTGGACATCCCTGAGGCTCTCCTCACCGACCTGGACGACAGCATTCAGTGCAAGTACTGGCTACAGGCCAGCAAGCACTACGGCGGCGGCTGCAAGGAGGGCGGAGTTGACAACCACTCGTACCGACGGCTGCTGCGCTACCTCGAATCCATGCGGCATGGCGTGCGCCTCGCGGCGCTCATGCTGGCCATCGCAGCTGGCGCCATGTGGCGCAAGGCCCGTGTCAGGCGTGCGCCTCGCGGCGCTCATGCTGGCCATCGCAGCTGGCGCCATGTGGCGCAAGGCCCGTGTCAAGGCCGAAATCAAGGACGCCGACACCGACGGCTACCGTGAGCGCTGCGGGGAAGCCGACGTGACCGACTTTCACCGCATCTGGCAATGCAGATGCGGTGAAGAGAGCTCGATCCACGAGGCGACCGGCAACTGTATCGCCGAGGCTACAAACCAGCAGCACATGTATGAATGCTACTGGACGCGGAGACTCACCCCCCCGAACCTGGACAGCACTCCCTCCACCCGTCGCTCACGAATGCTGGCAAGTGGACGGAGCTGACAGTTATGGCCCTGGTTGTTTCGGTCAGGGGCTCGGAGAGCCCATCTACGTTTTTGGCGACGGCAGCGGCGGGGCGCACACAGCCAGCATTCCCCTCCGACGGGTCGGCGTCGGTGTTGCGATGTTCACGGATCTTGATGAGAATGGCATAGCTATACGAGGCGCTGCGTTGGGGTCCTCTCCCAGGCGCGCGCCAGACAATCATCCGCGGAGGATTGATGGCAGCGTTGATGGCTCTCACGACCACCGTGGGCGACCTCATCTATTTCACCGGCAGCGAAGGAGTCGTCTACCTCACCTTCTACAAGGGGCACCTCGAGGCACCCGAGGGTGCCGACGCTGACCAGCGGTTTCGTGTTCGGGAGGCAGCTCGAGGACGCCAGGCAGATGTGGTCGTGATGTGCATCAGATCGCACATGACGGCGACCGAGATGGTTGCAGGTAAAATCAGCAGCTATGGCAATGCTGTTGCCGATGAGCTCGCAGGAGGAGCAGCCGAATCGTGTCGGATCCCCAAGCGCTCTCGCCAGCAGTATGCTTTAATTGATCAGAAAGCGTTTGTAGTCAGAATGAGGATTATTCGGGCCCATCTCGAAGCTCTGGAGGCCGACAGAATCGCACACCCAGAAGGCCAGCGTCGTAGGAGGCCGAAACCTAAGGCTCCAGCCCGACCGTTTGCACCCCGCTGCCTGCGCCTTGTTTTCCTCCCAGCATTGCGGAGACACCAGCACTGGCAACAGATGTAGTAGATGTTGTAATTCCTCCGCCCTAGCTCGTAGAACCGAATGGCTTCGCACCAGTTGTTATGACCTTGTAAATGTTGATGGCACTAACTTGAGAGCCCCCTAGGGATGCAGGTACATGTGGGGGGGATTTCTCTTCTTACCCATCGTTTAAGGTTCCACACTGGGCTGAAAGTATGGCTTTGTGCACACTGCGGGGCCATTGCCACACAGCGTCTTGGCAAACTTGCTGAGAAGTGTGAGGACCCTAACCCCACAGGACGGGAATATTTAAGAAGAGTAGCTGCAGGGCTCTGGCCCGAAGTCCTCAGTCGAGCTGAGCAGGCCAAGAGACAAAGCAACCGATCGTAGGTTGCGGCGGAGTTGGATTCATATCGCTACGCGATCAGGCAGAGTCTCCAGAGGCATCATCGCCCTCTCCTTCTTCCTCCCCAAAAACGTTCCCCCAAGGGTTCTCGCACTGGCGGGGGGGGGCACGCAGTCCGAGAGCGTGGCCGAGCTCTGGCCGCAACGCTCGGCCGCACAGGCGCCTCCAAGAGGCACAGGGCGGCGGTGATTCGCTGTGGGCGTCTTCGATGTTTGGCTGCTCCTGTGGGGGCCAACGATACAGTCGGCCTTCATTGGACAGGACACGCGAGAGGACACAAGACCCTTCCGAGGGCCACATCGCCATAGGAGTGTAAGAAGGCACGTGTCGCGAGGCACAGGACACAAGGGTACCCTTGAGCGGGCAGCGTCGACCTACTTATACGGGCCGACTGTAAGGGGGGACTGGCATCGGGGGGGGGGTGTATCGACCTGGAATCGGCGATACATCGCCGATAGATCGGCGACAGGCCCCCGACAGTGAATCCGCACCTTCCTGTGCGATTGGCCCCCGACAGTGAATCCGATGGCGATAGGTCCCCAATAGGCCCCCTGGGGCTATCAGACCCCTATCGGCGATCAATTGGCGATTGGGGGTCGATGCATCCCCCCCTGTGCCTATCCCCCCCCATCGTTGCCCCTGATTCTGCGTGCCCCCTCCGCCCTTCTCGGGGATCTAACGACACGGGTCAGTCCAAAACCGGGCCAGTCGGGCCCTGCACGATCCCTGCAGGATCCTGCCACTGGCCATCGCTCGAACGTCCATTCCCTGTGCCTTGTTCGGTTTCGTGCGTGTTTTTCCCCATATCCTAAGTATGGGGTGCTTGTTATTGGCGGATGGCGCCGGAGGAGAACACAGACGAGAACACACCACTCCTCTCACTCAGACCCACTCAGACTCACTCATCACGCAGACTCACTCATCATTCAGACTCACTCATCACTCAGACTCACTCATCACTCAGACCCACTCATCACTCAGACTCACTCATCACTCAGACTCACTCATGACTCGGACTCACGCATGACTCAGACTCATCTCTCCGACTCACTCATCACTCAGACTCACTCACCACTCAGACTCACTCATCACTCAGACTCACTCGTACTTGTACTCGTACATTCACTACGCTCACTCAGGTCCACTCATCGGATGACTCACACACACACTAATGTTGAGGATGTCTCAGGCGATTCTGTGGCTTCAGCACTCCTAAGGGGAGCGGCGGGGGGGTATTTCGCTCGGTCCCTTTCGCGGATTTTTGTGGGGATGTCTCAGGCGGTTGTGCCTTTTTCTCCAACAACATGTTTCGCTTTCGGAGCAGTTTGCGAGGATGTCTCAGGCGATTCGCTGGTTTCAGCACTCCTAAGGGGATCGGCGGGGGGGTATTTCCCTCGGCCCCTTTCGCGGGATTTTGTGGGGATGTCTCAGGCGGTTGTGCCCTTTTCTCCTCCAACATGTTTCGCTTTCGGAGCAGATTTGGAGGATGTCTCAGGCGATTCGCTGGTTTCAGCACTCCTAAGGGGAGCGGCGGGGGGGTATTTCCCTCGGCCCCTTTCGCGGGATTTTGTGGGGATGTCTCAGGCGGTTTGGCCATTTTCTCTTCCAACATTGTGTCGCTTTCGGAGCAGATTTGGAGGACGTTCGCGCCCAGTTTGCGGGGATGTCTCAGGCGGTTTGGCCGTTATGATGCTGGGCATCTGTCGTTTTCGGAGCAGTTGGGGAGGATGTCTCAGGCGATTTGCTGGTTTCAGCACTCCCAAGGAGGAGGAGGAGGAGAGGAGGAGGAGGAGGAAGAGGAGGAGGAGGAGGAGGAGGAAGAGGAGGAGGAGGAGGAGCGAGGAGGAGGAGGAAGAGGACGAGGAGGAGGAGGAGGAGGAGAAGGAGGACAGCATGAACACGGTAGGAGCAGAAGCAGGAAGGGGAGGATGATGATGATGATGATGATGATGATGATGATGAGATGAGATGAGGAGGAGGAGGAGGAGGACGTGGGCAACTCGAGTAGCCAGGGCCAGACGATCGAGGTTCGATGTTCCAAAACTTTAGGTTTTACTCAAACGCTTCCGCCTCACTCTCCTTCGCTCTCCGCTCTCCTTCACTCTTCTGCATTCATACTCACTCATACTCAGACTCAGTCACACGCAGGCTCACTCGCACTTAGACTCGCTCATATCCATACTTAAACTTATTCACACTCAGACTCACGCTCAGAACCACTCATACTCAGACTCGCTCCTGCTCAGACTCATCATCCTTCGGTCCGCTCAAACGCAGACCGACTCACACTCAGACTGCCTCACATCCATACCAAATCACGCTCGGCTCACTCGCACTCAGATTCATTAACACACACTTTTTCTCGCACTCAGACCCACTCAAGCCCAGACTCACTCATGCTCAGACCCATCATGCTACGATCCGCTCAATCACAGACTGGCTCACACTCATATTCGTCCATCCTCAGACCCACTCGCACACAGACGCACTCGCGCTCATATTTACTCACACGCATACCCACTCAAACCCAGGCTCAATCGCACCCAGATTAACTCACACTGAGAATCAATCGCTCTCAGATTTGCTATTGGTCGCACTCATGCTTGCAGACTGTGGGAATGTCTCGAGCGAGCGGTTCGCCCTCGCACACAGGCGCTCATTGACAGATATCAAGAGAAAGACGTACCAAGAGAATGAGATGCACATATGGGGAGCCCCGCGTCGAATATTTTTTTCGCCAAATGAGCAAGGATGCTCCTCGATGGTTCTCGCCGCAGGAAGAATACACACGTCCGAGCGATGCCAAGGTCGATGCAACCCTTGCCCTGCAAGCTCCTGCAAGCTCCTGCTCGCATCGGCCCCCGTCTCTGGAGCCCCGCACCAGAGCCGTCCCAGAGCCGGAACAGGGTCTACTCGGCGGTCTTGTAGGCTCCCAGGTCTGTCCCGAGAGGCCAGAGCCAGTCCGCAGACTTGTCCAGCCAACTCTCGAGCATTCTCGCCTTCTTGGCCTCGGAGAGCATCCAAGACTAGAGGAAGAAAAAACGCCATAGACATAAACTTTTGGCGCTCCGCCAGGATTCCTTGGATCTGCGCTGGATCCCCGTGCCTGGCGCGCCTCCGGCGCCAGGGGCGGCGCCGGAGGCGCCGCCAGGGGGGGGGGGGGGCCCAGCGCGGATCCATGCAATCCGCGCGGAGCGCCAACAGTCTATGTTTGTGGCGAGTTCTATCCTTCGAACGACGGCCCAGGACGCCCCAGAGCTCGCCCCCGAGAGGCCCTCCGCCTCCCGCGGCCGCCGGCGAGAGCCGCACCCTGGCCGCTCTTCTTCCCCTTGACGAACTGGCCCTCGTACCTGGCGCCGTCGGGCGTGGTGCTGACGCCTGGGCGCGCCCCTGGGCCGCGGCCCCCTCCTCCTGCGCCTCCCCGTGCTCCGCCCCCCCTCCCCTCCCCCTCCCACCTCCCTCCGCCTCCCCTCCCGCCCCCTGCCCTCCTCTCCTCCCCCCCTCCGCCTCCCCTCCCTCCCCCTTCCCTCCTCCCTCCACCCCTCTCCCTCCTCTCTCCACCCTTCCCCCTCCCTCTTCCCGCCTCCCTCCTCCCACCCCTCCACCCCTCCTCCCTCCTCCCCCTCTCCCCGATCCGAGCTCCGTGCTTCGGCGCGGATCGTAAGCGCGCCTCGTCTCCGTCGTCGTCGTCGTCGGCGTCGGCGTCGTCGTGGTCGTGGTGCGTGTTGCTCTGCTCGGGATTCTGTTTCCTTTATGCAGTGACCACCCACTTGGCTTGCCAGGCATTGCACGCCGCCTGGCTGTCCGTCCGTCCGTATGTCTGTTTGTCTTCCCGGCTCTCTGAGCCGCGGCGCTTTGAGCTTCTTAGCTCGGGGACGCGTCGGCCACCGCCGCCCTCTCCCTTGTCGGTGGCCCTGACGAGGTTGGGGGAGAGGGTGCCGAAACGCGCCCAGAGCCCAGCAAAAAAAAAAAAAAAAAAAAAAAAAAAAAAAAAAAAAGAAAAATAAAAATGAAAAAAAAAAAAAAAAAGCAAAAAAAAAAAAAAAAGAAAAAGAAAAAGAAAAAAAAAAAAAAACAAATAAAAAAAAAAAATAAAATAAACAAGAAAAAGTGTTAGAAATAAAAACAAAAAAAAAAAAAAAAAAAAAAAAAAAAACAAAAAAAAAATAAAAAAAAAATTCCGAGAAAACAAGGCCATGAGGGGGCAAAGGCATGAGGGTGCAAACCCGACTTGTCTGGCTGATTCTCTGGGGGGGCCTGTGCTCAGGGGAGGCTGCAGCACCGCTCAACGATGTGCTGTTTAACCGAACCTGCAGGGTGGGCCCTTTCCCAAATCCGTGCTTCGGTGCGGATCGTAAGCGCGCCTCGTCTCCGTCGTCGTCGTCGTCGGCGTCGTCGTGGTCGTGGTGCGTGTTGCTCTGCTCGGGATTCTGTTTCCCTTATGCAGTGACCACCCACTTGGCCTGCCAAGCATTGCACGCCGCCTGGCTGTCCGTCCGTCCGTCCGTCTGTCTGTCTTCCCGGCTCTCTGAGCCGCGGCGCTTTGAGCTTCTTAGCTCGGGGACGCGTCGGCCACCGCCGCCCTCTCCCTTGTCGGTGGCCCTGACGAGGTTGGGGGAGAGGGTGCCGAACCGCGCCCAGAGTCCAGCAAGGCATGAGGGTGCAAACCCGACTTGTCTGGCTGATGCTCTGGGGGGGCCTGTGCTCAGGGGAGGCTGCAGCACCGCTCAACGATGTGCTGTTTAAACGAACCTGCAGGGTGGGCCCTTTCCCAAATCCGTGCTTCGGTGCGGATCGTAAGCGCGCCTCGTTTCCGTCGTCGTCGTCGTCGTCGTCGTCGTGGTCGTGGTGCGTGTTGCTCTGATCGGGATTCTGTTTCCCTTATGCAGTGACCACCCACTTGGCTTGCCATGCATTGCACGCCGCCTGGCTGTCCGTCCGTCCGTCCGTCTGTCTGTCTTCCCGGCTCTCTGAGCCGCGGCGCGTTGAGCTTCTTAGCTCGGGGACGCGTCGGCCACCGCCGCCCTCTCCCTTGTCGGTGGCCCTGACGAGGTTGGGGGAGAGGGTGCCGAAACGCGCCCAGAGTCCAGCAAGGCATGAGGGTGCAAACCCGACTTGTCTGGCTGATGCTCTGGGGGTGCCTGTGCTCAGGGGAGGCTGCAGCACCGCTCAACGATGTGCTGTTTAACCGAACCTGCAGGGTGTGCCCTTTCCCAAATCCGTGCTTCGGTGCGGATCGTAAGCTCGCCTCGTTTCCGTCGTCGTCGTCGTCGGCGTCGTCGTGGTCGTGGTGCGTGTTGCTCTGCTCCAGACTTGTGCCCCTTATATGCAGTGACCACCACCACCACCCCCCTCCTCCCTCCCACCCCACCCTCCTCCCTCCTCCTCCTCCCCCCTCCCTCCTCCCGCCTTCCCCCTCCCTCCCCCGCGCGGTGGCACAGGAACCCCGGCGCCTTGGCCGGCGGCAGCGATCCGAGACGGTCTCCCCCTCGTAACACGTCGTCCCGCCAGGGACGCGTCCCGCCTGCGGGGAGCCCGAGGGCCCCAGAGGCGCGAGCGTACCCCGGCGGCGTCCCCGGAGAGATCGTCGTCGTAGCCCTCCTGCTCCTCCTCCTCTTCCTCCTCCTCCTCTTTCCTCCTCCTCCTCCTCCTCTTCCTCCTCCTATTCCTCCCTCCTCCTCCTCTTCCTCGTCCTCAGCTCACTGCCTCCTCCTCCTCCTCCTCCTCCTCGTCCTCCTCCTCCTCCTCCTCCTCCTCCTCCTCCTCGTCCCCGTCTTCCTCCTCCTCCTCCTTCTACTCCTACTCCTGCTCCTACTCCTACTGCTCTTCCCCCTCGTCTTCCTGGGCGGGAGCAGTGGGCCAAATCGTTACGGACGACGGCGTGGCAAGGGCCGCAGTTTGCTGTGTATGCTAAACGGTAGGCTCGCGCGTTGCGCGGCTCACGGGACACAATGTTTGAGCAAGGCATTGCTATGTAGAGACCGTTTTTTGGAATCGGCGATAACCTGGGTTATCCAGGGGGGAGGGGGGAGGAGGGGGCTGTCCGATAACATGACCTTGGCGCTGCTGGCAACTCTGCATGTGCCCGCGCCCCCCCACCCCGGAACTGCACAACCGGCAAGGTTAGGCTATCATGGGGGTGGCCCGATAACCCAGGTTATCGCTGGACCCTAAAAAACAGTCTCATAGGCTACAACATGGCCCCAGGGTATAGCATGCCAAGGGACTCTGGATGTTCGATAGGAGGAAGATGCAGGGATGCACGAGGACGAATACAGATAGGGAAATGAGCAAGGAATATGGGCAGAACACGGACTGATGGGTACAGAAGGGCGGGGCGTTGAACACTGGAATACAGTGTGAAAATGTGCGGGCCCGAAGGACAACCGCCGCGCAAGACAACTGCTCGGTGGACTGCGAGGTCTAATCTGAGTCCGAGTGATTAACCCGCTCCGCTGGGCCTCCCCGCCGCTGACGAAAGTGGCGATAGTTTCGCAGCTGGCAGCCCCCAGGGGACGGCGAGGTCCTGAGTCCCCGTGGTGTACCCACTCCGCTGGGCCTCCCTGCAGCTCACGAAAGTGGTGGCAGTTTCGCAGCTGGCAGCCCCCAGGGGACGACGAGGTCTAATCTGAGTACCCGTGGTGTGCCCAATCCCGTTGGGCCTCCCCGCCGCTCACGAACGTGGCGGCAGTTTCGCAGCTCGCAGCCCCCAAGGGACGGCGATGTCTGATCTGAATGCCCGTGGTGTACCCACTCCACCGGGCCTTCTCGCATTTCACGAAAGTGGCAACAATTTCACAGCCAGCAGCCCCAGAGGAGGCGAAGTAACGCAAATGTGCTGATCCGCGTACCATCGACAGTCGCGCAGCCAAGAAAAATGACGACAATTGCACAGGAGGTAACCGTGGGAAGCAATTATCGATCACCACCCCGTTATCCATAGCACTCAACATCCTTAATCAATTCCGAGGGTGGGAACCGCCGATCGATATCGATAGCACCCACCATGAATCAAATGATTCCTCGGGGGGGGCGACGGTGGGAGTGAAATGAATAAGACCATCCAAGAGAAGCCTCAAGAATCTCGCAGACAACCCAATTCCCTGAGACACCCCAATGAAACAATCAAAACTTATCCGGGCGAAAGACCCAACCATAAACAATTGTGAAAACTGTGTTGAGACACCGCTTTCGATGGAACTCCCTTTGGGGCCACGAACCGTGTGAGGGGTGCGCCAAAATGGGGCGGCACCGCCATGCGAACCCCGCCACCTGGGGCCTTCGGTGGAACTCCCTAGGGGGCCAAGAACCGTGTGAAGGGTGCGCCAAAAAGAGCGGCGCCGCCGTGTGGACTCTGCCACTAAGGCCTTCTGGGGCCTTCGGCTGATCTCCATATGGGGCCACGAACCGTGTGAGGGGTGCGCCAAAATGGGGCGGCGCCGCCATGTGGACCCTGCTACTGGGGCCTTCGGTGGAGCTCCCTAGGGGACCACGAACCGTGTGAGGGGTGCACCAAAAAGGGCCGGCACCGCCATGTGGACCCTGCCGCTGGGGCTTTTGGTGGAGCTCCCTACGGGGCCACGAAACGTTGCACTGGTTGTGCCGGAACAGAACACAGACAGGCGGAGGACAGAGGCAAGGATGGGAGGAGGGAGGAGCGGTAGGAGGAGGTTGGAGGGACGCGGGGCGCTGTCTCTTCAAACGAGGACGCAACACCACAGGATTGTTGCGAAATGCTGCAGAACGCCGTCCCCCAAATATCAATTCGGATACGCGCGAAAAAACTTGACGATCGACAAATCATCGATCGCACCTCCAGCCTCGATCGAACACACATCCTCGATCCTCAGCCGCCTCCCAAAGACTCCCATCCTCGATCCTCGATGAGGCATCCATCCTTGATCGCACCTCCATCCTCGATCCTCGATCGAACATCCATCCTCGATCCTCAGACTCCCATAGAAAGGCTCTTTGCACTCTCAGAGGCTCCCCGTCATCACCTCGCCCCTGGCTCGGCCAGGAGGCGCACGTGCCACCCCTGGGGCCCGGGGATGGGCCTCGCCATACACCATGCAAATCGACGCCTAGCAGTGCAAAGCAACGCAGGGCAGTGTGAACCATGGCAGAGCGTCGTCGCGGTCGTTCGGGTTCGGCGGCACTGGCCGGAAGGCCCCTCTAATCGACGCCCAGCAGTGCGAAGCAACGCAGGGCAGTGTGAACCATGTCAATGCGGCGTCGTGATCGTTCAGGGTCGGCGGCACTGGCCGGATGGCCTCTCTAATCGAAGCCCAGCTGTGCAAAGCAACGCAAGGCAACGTGAACCGTGGCAATGCGTCGTCGTGGTCGTTCCGGGTCGGCGGCACTGGCCGGAAGGCCTCTCCAATTACCGCCCAGCAGTGCAAAGCAACGCATGGCAATGTGAACCAGGGCAGTGCAATGTCAACATTCCAACGAAGTATGCAAAAAGCAAGGCCAGGCAGTGCTCATCACTGCAGAGCATCGCAGAGCAATGCCCAACAATCGGCTTCAGGCTTTCCCGGGGTATTTGCCTGCCCGCCCCCCTGTGGTCTTCGTTTTACGACCCCTGATAAGGGGATGCGTGGTCTTTCTTGTTTTTTGTTCCCGAGGCGTACACTACGACGGTGAACATCGCCCCCCCCACCCCACCCCCGAACCGCCAGCGTGATTTAGCACACGTGTTCCGAAATCTGTCCGACCCCGCCCCTCTGGGCAGTAGAAACATACAAGATTGAGCAACAGTACTTGGGTTTTACTCGTGTAATTGAGATTGGGCAATGTAGCTAGCTTCTATCTTCACCCCCTGATAATAATTTGTGTTTTTTGTTGTCTGGTCCCCTGAGGCGCAAACCACGACGGGATGATCGCTCCCCCCAAGGCATTGCAAACGATATATTGCACCCGTGTTCCGAAAGTGTTCCCCAGCCCCCGTCCCTTCTGGGCTGCAGAGAACTAATTGTCTGAGCCAAGGTGGTAGGCGCTAGCTTGAAGATCAGATAAGACAATGGTGGAGGGCGCTTCCTCGGTGGACTCCTACGGGGAAGTCCCATTGTGAGTCCTGCTGGGATCGGACCCTACTGGGATCCTCTTGGAACCCTATCAGAATCCGATTGGGATTTTACTGGATTCATGTTGCCTCCGATTTGGGCTCATATTGAAAACCCATTGCTGTCTTGTTGGAATCCTGCTCTGATGTTGATGGGATCCCGCACCGAGTGGCCCCGGTGCGGGATCTCACTTCGAGGGGCGAGAAGCGGCATAGCTTCGCCGAATAGTGGAGACGGGGTGGGGGGGGGGTCCATAATTGCTCCCCACTGTGAGGAGGCAGGAAGAGGGATGCGGGAAGGAGAAAGAGGATGCCGAGGAGAAGGAGGAGGAGGAGGAGGAGGAATAAGAGGAATAGGAGGAATGGAGGAAGAGGAGGAAGGAGGAAGGAGGAGGAGGAGGAATCAGGAGAAAGGAGGACGGAAATGACTAAATAATTTGTGTTTGGGATGTTGTTTGTTTTTATTTATTTTTTTGTATTTTTTTATTTTTATTATGCTTTTTTTTTTTCATTGTTTTGTATATTTTTTGGTTTAGGAGGAATAGGAGGAATAGGAGGAGGAGGAGGAGGAGGAGGAGGAGGAGGAGGAGGAGGAGAGTGGAGACCGCAGCGCTCCACTCAGAACGAATGCCCCACACAGGAGGGTGGAGACATATCGGTGAAGGCACCGGGACCGACAAAGGGGCGACTCGAGAGGAGGCAACGGGGCCAGGGACACGAGCGCCTGCTCGGGCCGCCACGCGAGAACCCTGCCCCTGCAGGCCCAACGCCTTTTTTTTGTTTGTTGTATGTTCGGCAAAGCGCTGGTTCATCCCCTCCCGAGAGCGCCCCTTTCGCGCCGACGTGCTGCAGTAACGAACGAATCGATGGATCCTGCAAGAGAAGCGGCCAGATAGACAAGGGTAAACGAGAGAGGTGCGCTGCGAGAAATCGAGACAGAAAGAGAGAGAGAGAGAGAGAGAGAGAGAGAGAGAGAGAGAGAGAGAGAGAGAGAGAGAGAGAAACGAAGAGAGAGGAAGAGAGAGGGAGAGAGAGAGGAGGAACAGAGAGAAGACAAAAAGAGATAGAGGCGAGAGAAGAGGGAGAGAGAGAGAGAGAGAGAAGGAGAGAGAGAAGAGAGAGAGAGAGAGAGAGCGAGAGAGAGAGAGGAGAGAGAGGAGAGAGAGAGAAAGAGGGAGAGGAGAGAGAGAGAGATGAGAGAGAGAGAGAGAGAGAGAGAGAGAGAGAGAGAGAGAGAGAGAGAGAGAGAGAGAAAACTGAGAGAAGTCGGGCGATCAGCCAGCACCGCGCGCCACACAACCGCAGCCCTGTGGCGCGCGACGCCTATTCCCAAAGGAGCGGCAGTTCCAGCTGGTGGAATGCAAAATGCGCACCAGGCTGCCGGAGCATTCTGGGAGGGGAAGGATCTCTCCAAGACCCAACCACAGCCTCAACCAACAAATGCCACAACGACTCCTGCC